CGAGGGGGGGTCTGGCGCCAGTGGGTGGAGGGTCCGTTTTTCAGGGATTCGGGGCACACCGCTTCCCACGCCTGACACCGCTCAGACCCCTTGTAACTGCAGCTCCCGTGCTGCGGCCAGACAGCCGCTTCTGTGGGCAGCGGGCTGGGCTTGTCAGGGCGGGTCACAGTGACAAAAACCACCGAGGCAAACTGACCCCCTCGGTGGATGGGCAAGTGTGGAGGAGCCAAGGGGGAACGAACTCCTCTCCCCCACGGGCCATCGGGGAGGGGCAAGCAGGGGACGCCTGCCTCTCAGCACAGACTCTGACAAGCACCCGGATATCGGGAGCCAAGCAGAAGTGCTAGTGGGGGGGGGGGGAGGGGCTGCAGTCTGTCCACCCAGCTGTCTCATCTGCCTGTCGCTTGCGCCCCGCCGCAGTCTGGCTGTCCCGTGTCCTAGGGGACGCTGGGCAGGGAAGAGCCGCCTTACCCTTTCTGGAAGTATTTCCTTCCATTGCCTTTGTAGAACACGACGCCTCCGATGACCAGCACGGCTCCCAGGACCATCATGGCCACCACAGCTGCCACGATCACACTGCTCCCACCTGTCGAGACCCAGAGGGAGGGTCAGGGCGGGCGGTGTTCCCCTCCCCCTGGCGTGGCGACTCTCGGCAGGGGTTGGTTTGGTCCCTCTCTGCCTTGTGTAGGAAACTCTGGACGTACCCAGAATTCAGTCACCCAGCTCAGCCCACGGTGAGCAGGGCAGGGCCAGACTGCCCCTGGCTTTCCAGGGCTTTGGCCGATCTGAGCTGCTCCTGAAAGGAGTGTGTTGCCCAGTCTCTCAAACATCACAGTCAGGACCTTGCTGCTGCCTGTTTCCTCCCACAGATCCATCCCAAGCCCTGCCCTCATGGCCCTTAAACAAAAGGCCATATTTCTTCATGCAATGCACAGTTAACCTGTGGAACTCCTTGCCAGAGGATGTTGTGAAGGCCAAGGCTATAACAGGATTCAAAAAAGAGCTAGATAAACTCATGGGGGATAGGTTAGCCTGTTAGCCATGATGGGTAGGGATGGTGTCGATAGCCTCTGTTGGTCAGAAGCTGGGAATTGTGTCCATAGCTTCTGTTGGTCAGAAGCTGGGAATGGATGACAGGCGGGATCACTTGATTCCTTGTGCTGTTCATTCCCTCTGGGCACACCTGGCATTGGCCGCTGCCAGAAAACAGGACCCTGGGCTAGCCGGACCTTTGGTCTGACCCCGTCTGGCCGTTCTCCTAGTGAGCTCTGTACCTGGCACAATCTCCGACAGCTTCCGCTCGCAGTAGGGCGCGGCCCAGCCGGGCTCACAGTGGCACTCCCGCTTGTGGTTGCAGACCTGAAATCCAATCCGGCAGGTCAGGGACCCGGCCGCAGCGCTGCTCCTCTGACGGAGCGTTGCAAAGGGAAGGCCTGGACTCAATCCTGCGGCCTCTACCCCGGTCACCCTCCTGTCGGCTTCAGCACCACATTGGCTTTACCGAGCAGGCATGCGGCCCCGGGCCCCTCGCAGCTGCTGCACATTTGCCCTGGCCTCAGGAGCACGACTGGTGAGTTCTCATGAACACACTGACGCTGGCAGCCGGCTCTGGGCGACTCCGGCCCGGGAATCGGCCCCACAGTGTCTGTTTGCGGTGCAACAGGGTGCCACGCTGCTGTGCCCCCTTTGTCCCGCTCAGCACCAGCCCCCGCCTGGGACAGACCGAGCACCCGCGAGCAGCGCACAGCTGGCCCACCCGGGCCGGGCCTCCCGCGCTCCCTACTGCTGGAGGAGACGATGTTCTGCCGAGCTCGGTCCCCCCCCATCCTGGGCCAAATTGCTCCCCGGCCCAAAGTGCCCGGTGAATGGCAGGGCAGCGCTCCACGGGAATCTGGGCCGATCCGGAGCAGCCACGCTGAGAGAAGCCACGTGCCGTGGGGGTTCTGGTGGGGACGTGGGGCCTGTGATCACACGGAGCCCACCCAGCCCGGGCACAGGTGGCTTGGGGCTGCATGCCCCGAGGGAGGGGAGTGGCCAGACGTAGTAAATGCACCTTGGGGGCCACGGGTGACTGGTGGTGGTGTTCAGGAGGTGCCCGCCCTCCCCGCCAACATTTCAATCGCTAAATGGCGTGGCCCCACCCGCCTCCTGCCTTCACCCCCCTCCGGGCGCCTCTGGAACACAGCAAGTCGCTGGCTGAAAGGCAGCCCATCACGGGAGCAGGCAGCAGCACCCGGGCGTCGACGCCCTGCACTCCGGCCAAGCGCGGGACGTGTGGGGCTGCAGGACAGGGAGGGCAGCTCTGAGGTCAGACCCAGAATGGGGTGTGGCCAGGGGGAGAAGAAGTGCTGAGAAGCCAGGGGAGACCCCGCAGGGCTTGGGGCACATGTCACAGACACATGGGGTCCGTGGGCAAAGCCCCGTCAGGAACAACACTTAGCACCTTCCACCCGCGCCTCCCAGCTCTCCACGGCACCGTCCGCGCTCCGATTCCCCAGAGGAGCAATCTGCGGCACAGTCGCTCCCGTACAGTCGGAGGACACCCAGTGGATCGTGGCTGTGCTGGCCCCTTGGTGGGTGCTGGGTAAACCAAAGGAGGGGCGAGCGTCCTTTCCCCGGCCTGAACCTACCCCGTGGCCGTTGCACTTCGCAGAGCAGTTTTTGGCACCGTAAATCAGGAGGTCCTGGCAGCGCCCGGCATAGCAGACCTGGAAGGCGAAGGCAGAAAGCTTTCAGCACCGTGTGCACTGGCACCCTGCCCCGCGGCTGCTTTCCAAACGCAGGCCTCTCCCTCCCCACCAGCAGCCCCCGGGGCACCCCCCCTGCTCCCCGCAACCCAGCGAGCGAGGACGTGGGCGGGGCGCTCACCATTTCCTCCCCGCACTTGGTGCCCGTCGGCACCAGCACAAGGCTCGCCACCGTGTCGCTTTCTTCCTTGTCCGTGAGCACCGCTTTGCAGGTCACGCCCCCGAACGACAGGGAATGGAAGCCGCCCCCGCTCCCCGGGCTCCTGCTCCCGCTCAGGCAATGCAGCGTGCCGCACTTGACGTCCCTGCGGGCAGAGTGAGCGGCGGGGTCTCAGCTCGGCTTCGTCTGGCACGGCCCCGAAGCCTCCCCCCAGCCAGCGCCCCTGTGGACCAGCTCCTCTGCCTTTTGCAGCTCTGCATCGCAGAGGGGAGCTCACCCGCAACCCAGCGAGTGACGGGCGTGAGCAGGCCCAGCTCAGCAGCTCCTGGACCGAGATCACCATCTCCTGTGGCACATCGCACCAAAGAGCTGCCTCGGCTCAGCAGGGCTCCCCTTCCCTCTCTCCTCCTGGCAGGAAGATTATCTCCGGTGTTTCCTCCCGGGCTCTGGCGATAAGCCCACAGGGAACGCAGAACCCATCTCCAGCCCTTTCATGAACGCGGGGTCTCCTCCACTCCCCTTACAGAGCCTGGCAGATGGCCACGCAGTGCAGGCATGCGGAGGAGACGCCCTGCCTCCCTGCCAGGTCCAGTCGCTTAGAGCCACTGTCCGCCGGGTGGTCCTTGGCAGTGGGACGGAGCCCTTTCTGTGGCTGCCCGTACCACCAGGGAGTTGGGAGCAGGGTGGGAGAACAAAAATTCCACTCCCATAAGCAGGCAGGAAATTTCTCTTCTCTGTTCTCTTCAGGGTTGGCGCACACGCCGCTGGAGTCTGCCCTGCCACGCCGGCCGGTTCTGGGATGGCTTCCTGAATCAGGAGGCAAGGTACCCAGAAGCCAGTGTGGAGGGTCCTGGAGACCTCCTCATCTGGAAGCTATTGGCCACTCTTTGCTACAGCCGGCGCATCAGTGGAGGCGGAGAGAGAGGAGTGAGTAGGATCATGAGGCGATGCCTGTTGGAACCGTTGGTACCTGCAGACCTGGAGCTCCCTTTTCTTCTCCGTGCTCTGACAGGCACAGCGAGCAGTACGACCTCGAGAAGATGCCGGCAGTAAGGCTCACAATACGAGACGCGGGATTGGGTGGGTAGAGGGGATCCCAAGGGAATTGCTACCAGTGGTTCCTGACGGAGTCGTACCAAAACCAGCGAGCAGGACTCCTTGAGTATCTGTCAGGGCTGTCTCCATGGAGATACTGGAAGGGCTCATCTCCGCCTCATCCAACTCTAAAAACTGCGCCACTGGTAGCAGTGGAGTTGTATTAGGCCACTCCTGACAGGTGTGGAGACAAGACACCAACACAGACTCCTTCTCTGGAGTGATAACACCCCTCAGGAGGGCCAGGCCAGAGGGAAGCAGAGATTGTCCATGTGCTTCAAGTCTTCACACGCCCTGATGTCTGAGGGATGCCGGCAGTCCAGCCCCATGGAGCCGGTGTCCAAGTCTCCCTGATGTCTGAGGGGTGCCGGCAGTCCAGCCCCATGGAGCCGGTGTGTCCATGGCAGCGGGGTGGTGCTCGAACGGACGAGGGAGTACGGACACTGAGTCTGGCCCAGCGCTTGTGGACGGAGCCGGTGAACGTCGGTCCCCACGCTTTGGTAGCAAGGTGGCCGACAGCACTGGCGGATCTTTCTTTTCAATTGCTTTGTCATCCAATGTGCATCCAAGTGTTTAGCACGGCGAGTTCCTCAGGTTCCAGGCGTGAAGCTTCACTTGTCCTGGACAGGCTTGGGGAGAGAGCACGTCTCTTATGGATGGTCCTCAACGGGATCTATCCTGATGTCCAATAGAGAACCTCCTACCTTCCTGGGGAGCCCCGGACGAAGAGTCTTTGATCTTCAGTGGTGGAGGCTCTGTTCCTAGACATGTGCTTGTAGGGGCGCTGCTAGTTAGTACAGCACGTGTAGGCCAATGGACACAGCCTGGAAGAGTGTCCATACTCAGGGGCGTATGCATACCCACGCAGGGAATACACATAGGCACCCTCTCTCTTAGAAGCTACTGCTGTCCTATCCTCAAGGTGGAAAAGACTCTGGCAGACGCAGCTCTTACAGGCTCATCTCGCTGCTGACTCATGGCACAGATGTTAGCAGAAATACTAGCTAGCCGGCTGCAGTCCACGCCCTTGGTTTAAATAATCTCTCATCAAACGGGGTTGCCTAAAGACAGACAACGTCAAACAAGACTCCTTGGAATCATCCATACTGCCAGATCCAAGAGAGATCCATTTCTCTTGTTACCGTTTGACGCAGAGCAAGAATTTAGCGTGGACGTGTTCCATCGTTCATAGAACTAGGAGGAGGCTGGTAACCAGATATCGCAAATGGGTAACGCCCCTGAAGCTTCCTAATGGAAATCATCACACAAAAGGAAATGAAGAACTAATCTCTCATCTGCGATTAGCAGCTGGGCTGACAGCCTCCCTGGCAAAACGAAAAACAGCGGAATCCCGGAGTGGTTCAAACAATATGAAAGTTTGTTATGGAAAAACGAGCCTGCCGGTTATATAATCACTATCCAAAGGACCGTCCCCTGCGAAAGAACCAGCGCACCTGCCCAGTTGTTTTTATGGTTTTTCATGAACGTTTGATAGCCAAGCCTGGTCTGCCACGTATGTGCGATCCGACCCCTCACTGAATTGAAGAGAACGGCTGGAAATGATGCGGCTTGGACAGTGGGGAGGCGCTCGCTGTGTAAGATGGGAACCCCTGTTACACGCAGAGAGCCACCACTCACATTACCGCACAGTGTTTCTGGGCGCCCCGCTGTCACGGTGACTGTGCTGCCGAGGCTATTTGCATAGCGAGGGGGGGGTGAACCTGGTGAAACCTCCTAGAGAAAGACGTGGTTTGATATTTTGAAAAGTGCCCGTGTCACTGAAAGGGAGGGGCTGCAGCAGGGGCCCCTCACAATGGCCTGGACCTCCAGCGTGGAAGCACCACCTCTTCCCTGTGGCCATGTCCTCCCTGCGGACCAGCTCACGACTCTCTCAGCCCCATGAGCTCCCTTCCCATTGGAGCAGCTCACAATGGCTCCGCCTCCACCCCACAGAGCTCTCACACACAGCAATGGGTGTTCACACACACGGCACTGGGTGCTCTCACACACACACACACACACACACACACACACACACACACACACACACACGCCGGTTCTAACCATTTTAGCTGCTCAGCTCTGCAAGCATGGAGGGGAAGATGCTCACACACACCTCACTGGGTGCTCACACACACACACACACACTGCAGTTCCTTACTTTGGGCTGCAGGGCCTTTTCCCGTTCTCTGTCAGGCACTTCTGGCGGCTATTGTACTCAAAGCAGATATCAGGGGCCACCTGTGCCTCTGTGGGGACACAGAAGAGCGGACGTTGGTGTTTCCCCAAGGCGCGCTAACCGGTGCCTGTGCGAGCGGCACGCGGTCGCCTCTGCCCGCCTTTCCCCCAGGCCAGGCACCCCCCTCCCCTCCGGCATCTCCTAGCCCTCATCACCCCTCCTGTCAGGAACTGATGATAAAACAATGCCCATCCTGGCGCCTGCCAGCCAAGATCCCAAAGCGCTGCGTAAACATTAAGGCCAATATTTTCAGGAACAGCCTCAGATATCAGGGGCCCGACTTAAGGTACCTCAAAGCCCCCCAATTTGGTGCCCAGAGTGGTTGATTTAGCTTCGCCCGTCCCGCCTGCCCTGCACACAGGGAGGTGGGGAAACAGAGTCACAGAGCGGCCAAGGCCAAGCTTGTCGGCGTGGCCCCCTAAGCTCCTATCCTGCAGTTCAGAGTGCCTGCCCCTGCCCTGGCTTCGCTGGGTTACAGCAGCCTCCCTGCCAGGTGCCAGGCACACCGCGGGTCTGAGACACGGGCTCTCAGTCTACGTGCTGCAGGCTCAGCCGTGGCTGCCAACAGCCTGGCCTTCGCTCTCCCTGTGAGCCTGGCGCGGGCGCAGAGAGCCCCGTTACCTGCGCCCCAGAGGGTGCGGCAGTGCTCGCTGTGCGAGGGGCACACCCCGTTGTAGCAGTAGCCGGTCCCAAACTGGCACGGCACCCCGTTCTCCTGGAAGACGTCCTCCGGGCACTCCGCGGAAAGGCCAGTGCAGTGCTCGGGCAGATCGCAGCTGTTCTTACTGGCACGGCACAAGGCGCCAGCAGCCTTCACCTGGGCAAACACAAGCACAGGCCCCAAGGAAGGGGAGGGGGTCAGCGGGGGCCTCCCTGCGTGGTGCAGGCCGCTTGGAGCACTGGCATGTGCTTCCGTGCGGGGTCTGACCCTTAGCCGGGAACTGCTGGGAAGGCAGCGTAACTTTGAGAGGTGGCCCTGGGTGAGCCCTCTGGGACCAGGAGAGTGGAAACCCGCAGACATTCACCCGCTTGGCCTGGGACCCTTCCTCGGTGACTCGTCCCCGACCGTAACGATTTGTACAACGTGGCATGGAGGAAAGGGAGTCGCGCTCGCTTCTGGCGGTTCGGCCAGACAGGCGCATTATGATCGTCCAGGACAACAGGAATAGCCTCCTGTCTCAGGCAGAAGATGCCTCGGACTCTGCGATTCTGTAAAGGCTACACATGAAGGGGGCCCTGCCAGCTTCCTCCATCAGCGGTTCCAGTGGTGAATTACCCTCCCTATTTCTAGCCTGAACGTGTCTCTCGTTTCAGCTTCCAGGCCCTGGATCTCGCTCTGCCTTGACCTGCCAAGTTAAAGAGCCCTTTGCAAAAGCCCTCCCCCCAGGTAGGCACTGGCCGACGGAGATCAAGTCCCGGCTCATGTGTGGTCGGTGAGGATAGCACTGGGGGAGGCAAGCCCCCTCCCCCACCGGAACCAAGCCGTCTCCCTGCCCCCCAAGGGGAGGTGGGGCAGCACGCAGCACGCGCCCTCCCACCACGGGGACGGGGGGAGGATGGGCATGTGTGTCCCAGCCTCCCCGGCCTGGATCACGGGGAGGGTGGGTGCTGGGGGCAGCCATACTCTGCCCCAGGATGCTAACAGCAGGCGTTCTGGGGGCTGAGCGGGGCATGGCCAGGCTGGCGGTTTGGGAAGGCAGAGCCTCTCCCTCCTAGGCTACCAGATGCCCATGTCACTGCTTAACCTGTCCTTGGGTAAATAAATGGAGCTTCCCAACTCTTTCTTTGGCAGGCAGGCTGTGTGGCTCTTTTCTGAACCTTTTCAATGGTGGAGCCCCCCTTCTGAACCGTGCACGCCAGAGCGGGTTGCAGGTTCCAGTCTCGTTAGCGCCATACGCAGAGACAACCCCCCCCACTGCTGCCCAGTCCTCCCCTGCTTATCCAGCCGAGGCTCACGTTCGCCCCCGAGCGCGTGTCCACTCAGCAGGCACTACACCTAGCGCAGGCTAGCTCTGTTCAAGCCAGTGTGCTAAAAACAGCAGCAGGGCCGTCGTGGCTCAGGCTGGAGGCGGGAGTGTTCCACGGTGGCCAGCCCGAGAGCCAGACGTGAGTGTCGGGCTTGCTGTGACTCTCCCTTGGGGAGGAAATTGGTGACCAGAGAGCCAGGCTATGTCCCGTTACTGCGCTCCGGCGCTGGGCACGTTAGCAGGGTGGGGAACTGGCCGCGTTTCATTCCTCTGGGCCCTTCTCCCTCGTTGCCCATCAGCCAGGCTAGCCCCCGGCAGCTCCTGGAGACGGATTTTACCTTGCACTGGTGGCAGCATTCGCCCTGCGCGCAGTCGGCGCCGTCGTTCAGTCGGCAGCTGGTGGCGTTGCAGCAGGGATCCCCGCATTCCTAACAAACAAACGCAGCACACACGGGCTGGAGAGGGGAGCAGCGAGTCCCGCTTGGGCTGGAGAGCCTCCTCGAACCAGCCTCTCTGCAACGTCATCACGGGAGACCTCCTGAAAAAGGGCTTGACGCGTCCCCGGCTGTGTGGCTCCACAGGGGGGATGCAGGCAGAAACCCACACAGGAATCTGTTACTAGGACTGGACTATGGACGTCGTTACAATCATACGTCGCTCTTCTCTAGCCTGCCTCATCTGTGGGTCTCAACACACCGCAGGGAGACACGGGCAATAGCAGGGGAGCAGCTGTGCCTGATAAACAGCAGGATAACATCCTTCAGTGAGCGCCAGGAGAGCAAAACACCTCTCTATTGATCCTTGGGAGACTGCGCTGCTCTGTTCCTCTGGCTGCCCTTCAGGCAGGGAGAGGAAAGCCTGAGCATTACCAATGGGCTATCTGGACTGTTTTGCTGAACTGACGAGTTCACACATCTAAAGCCAAACCTGGACACAAGACGACCAACTCAGCGCCAGGAGGAAGGTGTGAAACGCCACCTCTTCTACACCGCTAGCCAGGGAGGGGAGGGCTTCGGCAGCATGGAGGGCAGCGTGCCAAACCTCTGCCCGCTGGTGGGAAGGAAGGGTGCCTTCAGAAGGATGTGAGTCACAGGGCAGAAAGAGAAGCCGGGCAGGGTCGGGAGCGGGTTTTGCCGTCACTGCTCCTCAGCCAAATTCCCGGCACTAATCAGAAAGTTACCACAGATCTGCAGAAGTGCTGGGTGGCTGCTGAAAACAGGCTGCTTGAGCGGGACGTGTCAGAGGAAACGTCTCCCTTACCAGATTGCGCAGCACAAGGTCTTACGACAGAACCCGTACACTGGCGGGAATGGACAGACTGCCGAGCTCGTCGGAAGAGTTATCTTTATTATACGGAAAAAAACATTTGCAAAAGGGCTTGGCCTCAGTGGGGGCAGGTGGCAGGACGGGTAGCAGTGGTCTCAGGGGGCAATGGGGGAGGTCTAGGCTGGTTATTAGGAAGAGCTATTTCCCGAGGAGGGTGGGGAAGCGCTGGGATGGGTTCCCTAGGGAGGGGGTGGAATCTCCGTCCTAGAGGTGTTTAAGTCCTGGCTGGACAAAGCCCTGGCTGGGATGATGGAGTTGGGGTTGGTCCTGCCTTGGGCAGGGGGCTGGACTTGATGCCTCCTGAGGTCTCTGCCCACCCTAGGGTTCTGTGGTTGTGATAATATTGCAACACCTGGCCTGGGCCTGGGACTGGCAGGGGGGCAGGGACCCATGCATGTGAATAAGTGACCACTGTTGCACAGTCAGTGTTTATTTTTCCTTTGGAGTGTATTTGGCTGTGTCTAGACTACAGGGTTTTTTCAAAAAAAGTGGGAGGGGGGTTCGAAAAAACTGTACCTGCGTCTAGACTACCGCCGCGTTCTGTCGACGGTAAATCGAAAGAACCCGGCGGTTTTGCTGATGGCGGTAAACCTCATTCTACGAGGAAGAACGCCTTTTTCCGAAAGTCATCTTTTGAAAAAAGGCGCTATTTCATGAAAACAGGGCTTTTCCGAACGAGAACATCTAGACTCTCTTCCGAAAAAGCGAGCCACTTTTTCAAAAAATCTTCTTGTTCTCTAGACGCTCTTTTTCAAAAGAGGCTTGCCGTCTAGACGTAGCCTAGGTGTATTTGCAGTGCCTGGCACACTGTGACGCCGATCTTGGTGGAGGCCTTCGGACACTGCTGTAATATGCCCAGTAAGAATCGTGTGCTCGGCCTCACCCGGAAAGCCTCACACACAATGAGGGAGGCCAGATTTGCCACATCTGACTCTGGATCAAGCAGAAGATACCCTTTTTTATTAAAAAAAAATCCTCTGGTTTCTCTGGCCCTCTGTACTCAGCACAATGAAGCAAAACCCAGGGACACCACCTCGTGAAGCAAAACATCTTTCACAAGCCACTTTTCGGCAGAAAGATGCGCAACCCCGAGGGGGAAGACAGGAAGGAAGCGGTATTCACCCAGCAACGGGGGCTCTGGAAAGCTGCTTGCAGCAGCAGCTCCGTGGTCAGCTCACCGGCCCAGCAGGGCGCTTGGGTTGCAGACGAAACCCACAATCCTGCTGCCACGTTTCCCTTCCCTCCTTTAAAGTCTCCCCATGGGCGGGGGTCAACCTACCTTGGGCGTCCCGCAGTCACACTGCTCCCCTCGCTCCACAAACTGGTTTCCACAGACAGGCACCCCGTACAGCTCCTCCGCCTTGGGGACGTTCAGCAAGCAGCTGGTCCGGGGATCGCTTAGAAACGTCTGCAGGTCGCTCCTGCTGCAGGTGCTGAAGAGCTTGGGGTAGATCATGCTGGAGGGAAGAGGAAGCGGGCATCACGGCAACCGGCACGTGAAGGTCCCATGGGCCCGCCCCTTCGCCGCGAAACGTCTGTGGGAAATGGCCACGTGGACTCCAGGCCAGGAGCGCTGGCCTCAGGTGTTCAGTGGGAACCTAAGATGTGCAGGGACCCCTGAAGCCCTGGGCCATTCTCCTTACCCAACGCTAGCCGCCATAACGCATCCTCCTTCGGTCTTCACGGCCGAGCAGCTGCAGCCACTGATATCTTCATCGTGAGACATTCCCAGGTTGTGTCCCATCTCGTGAGCCACGGTGGATGCGGCTCCGACGGGATTCAAGCTGTGGTCCTGTGCAACAACAAGGAGGACGCAGGCTAGCACAGTGCTTCTTAAACTGTGTTCTGCTGGTGCGCCGCGAGGCAGTCGGAGAACACAGAATTCAAAATGGTCACCCTTAAAGGAGCAGGCAACTTTTTTTGGGGGGGGGCTCAATAACTTCCCCCGACCTTTTTTTCCCCCAAAAACTTTCCCCCCAACCCTTCCCCCCTCCTTTTTTTTTTCATTGCTCAACAAAAAATCCTTGGTGTTCCCCATAAAAAAAAATGTTTGGTGCTCCTCAGTCTTAAAAAGTTTAAGAAACACTGGGCTAGCGATAGTAACGGCTTCTGCCCTATCTTTCTTAGGGTTTCTACCATGCCCATCACCACAGTTTCTTGCCTGCTTCCATGTCAAGACAAATTCAGGCTGCTAGGTAAGAGATTGAAGTCCAGGGTCTCCAAGCTACTGCAATGCTTCCAGTTCTGAATACAGGACCGGTTAGACAGGCAGACCTGCAGGGTTTCTATGAGAGGATGAGACAATGGTGGAGGGGGGAGGAATTTAGGATTATTAGAAACTGGGGAAGCCTTTGGGAAAGGAGGAGACGATGCGGGAAGGGTGGGCTCTAAACAAACCAAAATGGAACCAGACTATGGGCGTGTAGCATTCAAAAGGCCATAGAGGGATTTGCAAGCTAAGACCTGGGGGGAAACTGACAGGTGCTGAGAAACACTCAGTGCAGACAGAGGCCTCTCTTAGGGATTTTCAATATCCTGGTGAAGAGGAAGGGACTGACGTTTTTAAAGTAGAGACAGGAACTGAGGAGCAACAGTCAAACAGAAAAGAATCCCATTCAATTCCGTCAACATGCCGGCAGACAACTAAGTTCTGACAAATTGTGTAAGTGCTTGTATCCAGACACGAGAAGTCTACATACTAAGGTGGGTGAACGTGAGTGCCTGGTATTGAATGAGGATATTGGGATAACAGGTATCACAGAAACTTGGCGGAGGGATGAAAATCAATAGGACACAATAATGCAAGGGCATAAAATATACAGGAGTCTATTAGAAACGGAAGAAGTACGCGGAAAGGCAACAAAAATGATTGATGCTCTCGAACAGCTTCTATGTGAGGAGAAATGAAAAAGACTGGGATTTTTCAGCCTGGAAAAGAGGTGACTTTGGGAGGATATGAGTGAGGTGTGTAAAATGAAGAGCAGGATGAAGAAAGTGAATAAGGTAGTTTTATTTACCCCTTCACATGACACAAGAAGCAGGGTCACCTCATGAAATGAATAGGCAGCAGGTTTCAAACAAAGAGAAGGAAGTATTTCTTCTTCCCACCATGCACCAGCAACCTGTGGAACTCATTGCCAAGGGATGATGTGAGGGCCAAAGCATAACTGGGTTCAAAAACAAATTGGGTTTAAGTTAATGGAGGACTGGTCCATCGGGAGCTCTTAGCCAAGATGGTCAGAGATGCAATCTCATGATCGGGGTGTCCAGAAGCATCTCCTGCGAGAAGATGAGATTCAATGATGGGATGGTTAACTCGGGAATTGCCCTGTTCTGGTTACTCCCTCTGAAGCACCTTGCATCAGCCACTGTTAGAAGATGGGACCCGGGGCAAAGCGGATCCCTTTGGTCTAACCCAGTTTGGTCGTTCTTAGGTTTCCTCTTCAATCAAGTGCCACAGCTACTCTACTTGGCAAGAAAAGCCAAAGCAGACATCAGTTCTAGTAAACACAGAACACAACAGCACAGGCCCAATGGGAGATTTTATAACAATTTCAGCTCCCCAGGGCTCGCTTCTGGGGCTGGGGAGCAGTGTTCCTGCTGGGCTGCAGGGCTGCACAGCTTCACAGGAGATGAATCAGCCCCGCCCGGTCAGAAGCTCAGGGCTCCTTGCAAGAAGCTGAGTGATGGGCAGGACTGATGAGCCCCCTGTGAAGCTGTGCTGCCTTGCAGCTTAGCGGGAACGCTGCTGGGGAGGGGCAGAGAAGGGCGAAGGGGAACACCCAAAGAGCCTGATTTCACAAAGTCCTGGGCAGCTGATGGGGAAGAGGACAGAGGGAGGCCTGGTGTGTCTGTAGCTGCTTTGTGGGCTCCTAGGACATTTGTACAGAGAGTCTGAGCCCCTTTGAACCTTCCATCCCAGGGAAAGCGCAAAGCTCCTTGGGCCAGTTGCCCGCCTGACATCTCCGTCCGTGTCCAGGGGGGTAACGGCAGCTCACCAATGCTAGGTCACAGAGCACAATCGATGGTGCCATTTGGGCAGGATTTGGCCTTTCTGACCCTCCGGAGCCAGCACAGAGGTGCCTACAGATGGACAGAGCTGTAGATAGCTCCTCCCTGGCCGCATGAGTACACCACTCGCAGCCAGGACGGCCAAGCACAGAGAGCCCCCAGTGTGATGGGGAGCCCTGGATCCAAAGGAACAGGTCAGCCAGAAGCAGAGGGTGCTTGTCTGCCCTCAGCGCGGGGAGCCCACTTCCGTCCCTCGTCTAGTGGTTAGAATGGAAGCGCTTATCAAGCCCCACCTGATTTACTCCTCCCGAGTCCCGGGTGCACATGGCGTACTTCTTGGCCAGCCCCACCGTCGTGCCTTGGAAGTCTATGCCTCTGCAGGAAGGCAAAACGCTCATAAAAGGACACGCGTCATCCACAATCAGTCCCGTGGCCTCGTGCCGCATTGTCACGTCCGTGGCCAAGGGTGGCGCAGTGTCCCCCAAACGCAATGCACTGCCTCAACGATAGCCCTGTCTACAGAGCACGCCCCATATCCCCGCTGGCCGGATCCTCCCCAGACAGCTACACCAATGTCCTCACAGCTGCCCCCGTGCAGTATCCTCCAGGCTCTCCCCGGCACCTCCCAGCTACACAGGCAGCCCCCAGCAAACCAGGACCCGCACCAGCAGCATCTCCATTTCCGCCAACAGTTTGCAAGGGATCTAAATCCTCTTGCTCCGGGGTTGGCCCAAGACCCGACTGGTGGAGGCCAGGAAGGCATGTCCCTTGCGGGCAGGTTAGCCCAGAACTGGTGTCGTCACGGTTCTTGCCCCACCCTCTGATGCAGCTGGTAGCAACCCTGCCAGAGACAGGAAAGCCTGCACCACTCTCTGGCCAGTCCTGCCTTGCCAGCCGAGTTCACAGTGATAGCGTCTAAGGCCAGAAGGAGCCACCCAGTCGGAGCTGCTGTGTCACGTGCCACCAACCCCTCCCAGCATCTGCATGCTAAACCCACATCCGGGCATCCCTGCTGCAGCAGAGCCTGGCACTGTCTCAGCCCCAGCGTTGGGCTCCCTGCGCCAGCTGCTCCTGCTCCTATGGCAGAGACTTACGTGATCAGCTGGGCGTTGTCGTGCTTCTTCTTCTGTAACAGCTCAGTCTCTCGCCAGAGGAGAAAATTGTCCAGGGTGGTGTCTGGGTTGGGACTCACTGCGATCCTGTCCTTGTAACTCCAGACTTCCAGGCCCACCAAGGCCACACGGATATTGAGAGTCTGGTAAAGCTGCGGCCGGGAGAAACTGTATGAGAGCTGGACTGCTTGCACTCAGTGCGATTCTGAACCCCCAGCCTCTACTGCGGCTCCCCGCTAGGCCAGGCTCTGCCTGTGGCCCCCACTGGGAAGCTCAGGAGAGCCCCGTCATACGCGTGCCGTTTCCCCGTTCTTCTCCAGCCACGCCGGCTGGCAATCCCACAGGCAGTGGGAAGGGCACTTGTGCTCACCCCTCCCAGACTAGTTTAGGGCTGGACAGTGGCAGGACGTGTGGGACTATGGGGCGCTCAGCAGCAGCCCGACCAGGGATACGCCGCAGGCCAGCCCTTGTGAAATCAAAGGGTCAACACACATGCTGGAAGGCCATCACATCCTCATGGGCTCTCCTGGATCAGGGCCAGAGCGCTCAGGACCCTGCTGGATCAGACCTTGAGCTCCCTTGGGACTCACAGCGGCTCCCGCTCCCTCAGAGGTCGGGTCAGTGAGGGCTGAGAGCTCCTCGACACCACTCCAGGTGCGCTTTGGGAGCTGTGGCGGCCATTTTGGCCACCCAGCCACTCTCCCTGAGCAGGGGTCACTTGGCTTGACACTGCCCAGGTTTGTGGGTCAGGATGTCCCAGTGGACAGCCATTTGCTCCAGGCTTAACGAGTCTCCTCGTCTAGCAAATGGAGAAGGTCAAAGTGCCTCTGCTCATTCCAGGGAGAGGCTGAGCTGGATGGGGGAAAGCAGAGCTCCTCCGAGTGTCTGCTCTGCATTACGGGAGGTTGGGTCAGTGGGACCATCTGTCAGTGTTTATAATTTGTCCACCTGGTTGGTCGCGGGGCAGGATAGAGCTCGGCCTCGTACTTTGCACAGGAAGACACTCCAGTCATCCCTAGCACCTGTTCTTATATAGGCAGAAAACACGAGCAACGGTCCCTTGCCTAGGAAGCTGACCTCGTACTGTGACGGGTGCGTGGAACAAGATTCATTATTGCGAGCGAGCAACGGGACAAGTTCCGCCAGCCTTGCTCCACGGGAGTCCGTGGGAACAGTGCTGGCAGCTTTGCCCGAGCAAGAACTGCAGGACAGGCCTCCGTCCTCACTGCAGCCTGGGGATATCTCACTGTTACCTTGTCAACATGATTCACAATTTCCTTCATGCGATTCTGAATCGTCCGCATGTCTTTGGATTTCTTGTACTAAGGGGGGAAACAGAGAGATTGCCAATCAAGCTGCTGCAATGGGATGATAAACTGAATCGCTGTTCGGCCTCTAGGTGTGCCATGACAGCATACCTGACTTAAAAGCAACGAGCAGTCCTGTGACACCTTAGAGACAACCAAACATACGGCATCATGAGCTTTCCTGGGTAAACCCACTTCATCCAGTGAGCTGGAGTGGAAATTACAGACTCCAGAGTATATACAACAAACTGACATGGCTACCACGCTGAAACTTTTAAATTCACAACAGCCATTCCTGGCAGGGTATTAAAGGGTCTTAGAATGAACACTTCTGGTGTACATTCTCAAATACTGAGGTGTGAACAAACCCACAATGCGGGTCAGCTCAGACGAAAGCAGCTACACCCTAAGTACTATGGTGTAACGACGTGGACCGGAGTGAAAGCCAGTTGCATTTTGCTTTCACCCTCAGAAGCAGACAAAGGAAATGCTGAGACTGAGAAGGAAGGCCTGGAAAGTGTATGTGAGAACTTTTACAGCTATTTGTCTTAGCGGGATTCATTTACACTGATAAAACACCACAAACCACTTGTAACCCTCCCTCCTCCATGGAAAAGATACAGCACTAATGATACATCAACGTCTATTGCTGATTTTAATGCAATTTAATCCAATGGCTAAATATGTTCCTGGGAAAAATCTCACAGTAGCTGACAGTCCTGTATCCCAGGGTCACACGTAACTATCCATGAGGCCAAAGATGATGTAAGGGTGTATGTGGACACTGGATACTACACAGACAAAGCAGAATCAGAAAAGAGATTCACCAGCTACAAGAAGCAGCCTTGAGACACATAAAACTTCAACAGAGCAGAATCAGAAAAGAGATTCACCAGCTACAAGAAGCAACCTTGAGACACATGCAACTTCAAGATCTAAATTATATGAGGGCTGGTTGGTCCAAGTATCTAAGGGAGAATAAAAGACTATTTGCACAGTGCACGGGCAATTAAGTGAGACAAACAGACTCATGAGTTTGACATAATGTACCCCCGTGTTCAGATGCTACACATTATTGTAATCATCTCTGTACAAAGTTCCTTGTGAAGAACCATTTGAAAACTGAGGCTTTGCAAATCATTTTTGTCCTGGGAAAATACATGTGGCAACTTTGTATATAAAGCGGTAAGATTCCACTCTATGGGTGTGTCTTTTGTCGACAAAACTAAACCTGCGTCTACACTACCACTGAGTTCTGTCGACATAACGTCGACAGAACTCAGCAGTTTTGTCGACGTTGGTAAACCTCATTCTACGAGGAATAACGCCTTCTGTCGACAGAGTTCTGTTGACAGAAAGCGTTATTGCATCTAAACTGTCCTTTGCGTCTACACTGCCATGTCGACAAAGCAGCTGGCTTTGTCGACAGAACTGAATGTAGTCTAGACGCTCTTTGCCGACAGAAGTTTTGTCGACAGTATCTGTCGACAAAACTTCTGTTGACAAAAGCCTGTAGTCTAGACGTACCCTAAGGTGTTCCAGCCACCTGTTCCAAACCTAGTTGGCAAATGGATAGATCTCAAACAAAAGAACAGGTGCAATGCTTAATTTACTTCTAAGCCGTAAACAGAGTCATCAAGCAGGAAGGAAAACAAAAGAAGTTCCAACAGGTGTGAAAAAAGTAGCATCCTTCCACACAGACTTTTTGACTCCTGGTGCCTAGCTGAAAATGCCAGGAGGAGGTTGTGCAATTAGAAACCAGTTCAGGTGGAACCTCTCTAGTCTGGTACTTTTTGGTTCAGCAACATCTGTGGCCTGGCAAGATCTGAGTTAGCTAGATGTCCACGTATCATGAGTGTGGCCATGAGTGTTTCCTGCAGTCCCATACAGCCCCCAGTCCTGGATCTCAGCGTTCTGGGCTGTTATTTAGCTCTAACTTATCCCTAAATGTCTTCTCAGAGCCCAGTAAGCAGGGGAAGTGTTGATGTTGCTGCTAGACAATATTGACCACCTATAGAACATACTTTATGTAAGCTCACAAGAGCTATTTCCTGGAAGTGCACTAAATGTTCTGGTAGTGAACAGTCCTGGTGTATCTCTCTGTAGCTGCTCCATCCCTGGTGCAGAAACCCGGCCTGCTAGGTGTAGTCTGGTAACCTACCGTATACAAGAAGCACCTGACAGCTGCTGTCCCCCTTACCTCCGCATTGTCCACAACGAGAACCAGCTCCACATAGCGGGGTCCTTTCTGAAACGGAGCTGATTTCTGAAAGGAAAGGAAAAAGCAGATGCCATGTGGGACCTGAATTCCATCTCTGGTGGCTGTGAGCCCAGAGGGAGCCGTTTCGGGGTGAGTTATTCTAGCTGCTAAACTTTTTGGCGCCGGATGATTTTACAGCTTCTGCCTCCCACACTGACCGGCAGAAAAAGTGCCCTGTATCCCCAGCCAGTCACAAACCGTACAGTCGCTATGGTTTTGGTCAAGGGGTACAAATCATTCATGAGCAGCCCCTCCCCCCCCCCAGTTGCTTGTTTCTTTCACCAGTGGCTCAATGCACAGCAGCTGGGTGAAAGGGACATTGGCTTATACTGCAAACACCTCTTTATATACAATCACCGGGGCCTGCTAAAACAATATGCTAAATTTTGGGCAATGACACATGCACGGCGCCTGAAACACTCGCTCAGGGAGGGTTCAGCTCAGTGTAACTCAAACTGATGGAGGACAACTAAAATGCACATTTCAATGCAGAGATAATTCATTGTGCTACTGATCATCAGAAACACTTGGCCAACCCCACCAATCCAAGCTGCCTTCCAAGAGCCAAAAAGCCCCAACTGACCCCACCTCCAGACACCTCGGTGGTGCAGGTGGGAGTGGTCAATAAAAAATCCACAGTATTTTGAAGTGGAATGTCTTCTTATTAGCAATCTGCAGCGTGATAGCACCAGGCCCCTCTGTCTGAGTCAGGACCCAGTGGCAGATGCAGCACGCACAGGCAATAAAAGAAACCCCTGTACCAAGAGCTCACAATCAAGGCGGAGAAAATTAACAACCCAAGGGGTAGGGGAACACACCCGCCACCAAGCCCCTGCTCCCAGGGGCTTTGTGCATGTCAGAGCATGAGACAGCGGTAGGGATTTGAAGTAGGACAACGCAGTTACTCTGGGGACTCGGACGAGGCAGCTCCTGTGCACAGGGGAAGCATGGCAGAGAACATGGTGTATGTGCAGGGGAAGAGGACAGGCTGGCATCTGGCAGAGCAGCGGCAGGGCAGGCAGCTGAGTAATGCAGGGAAAGGAATCTGTAGGATGAACGTAGGAACGGCCATGCTGGGTCAGACCTATGGTCCATCTAGCCCAGCATCCTATCTTCCAACAATGGCCAGTGCCAGTTGTGTCCAAGGGAGTAACTCCCGTCTTCCGGTCCTAGCAACCGGCAGCCAGAGGCAAAGGGTACCCAGGACGGGTCTGCATCCCTGACCACCTTGGCATATTGCTATTGATGGGCCGATCTTCCGTGAACTCGCCCCGGTTTTTTTTGAGCCCCGTCCTACTTTTAGCTTTCACGAGCGCCCCCCACAATGAACCCCACCAGCTGACTGCGTGCGGGGTGAGGAGTTTGGTTTAAGCTCTCCTGAACCCAAGGCAGAGCCGCGACTTCCCAGTGACAACTGCAGCAACTGTGACAGCCAGCGCATGCAGAACCTTTGCGCTCAGCCACTGCGCCGGGGACCTGCTCCAAGACCCAGCAAAGTCAAAGGACGCTCAGTGGGTTTGGATCAGGCCCCCCAAGGGAGCTCATTAAACTGCAACCCGGAGGAACGGGCGATTTCCTACCCAGTGATGGGGCTTCATAGCGGCAGCGACTTTCGGTTCATGGTCGTACTCCAACGTGACGTTGGCGTCTCCGCAGGTCCCGCGCTTGGCTCTCAGGTGGTCCGCCCGGTACACCGCGTGCTCCCCTGTAGCGTCACCTCCCAAGGGCTCAATTAAATAGACTGTCTGATCGGCCCAGAAAAATCCGCTGCAAAGAGACGGAGCCAACGTGAGTCCGGGGCCGGTCAGAGAAAGGGTTTCACACACATTCGCGGAGGGAGCACCCCGGCCTGCCCCCGCGCCAGGCAGGGAGCTGTGTGCCAGGAACAAGCAGCAGGAAGCGGCATCTTTTATTGGACCCACTTCTGGTGAGTGAGCGAGCGAGACACGAGCTTTTGTGCTTACCCAGAGCTCGTCTGCCGGTCTGGGAAACCTACTCCAGGTGCCACTGCTCACGACAAGCTTTGGGCAGATTGGTTAGCAGGGGCAGCGACATGCTGACCTCCTGTGCTTGGGGGTCGTCTCAAAAGACAAATCTAAACAGGCTTCCCTGCACTGAATTCCGGGTTTGCCTGGGCTTTTAACTCCTGCTTCCCCAAGTCAAACGCCATGTAGATGGAGAGAAGCAAACCAGGCCCTGTCACAGTCAGCCAGGTCAGGGCCGGCCCATGATGTTTTGGCACCCGAGGCAGGGAGCTCAAATGACGCCCCCTCGCTTGGGCCAAAACTTTGAAAGGTCTCAATTCTGCCTCCTTCCTGTTCTACTCCTCCCACGGGACTGCTCTGCTCCCTACCCCGATGAAGGAAAACTAACAGCAGCAGACACAATTTTCTACACTCTGGGTCCTACTGGCGCCCCTCACCGTCCGGCACCTGAGGCGGCCGCCTCAGTTTGCCTCATGGTAAGGCCAGCCCTGAGGCAGGTCCTGTCTCTGTAACACGGGGAAGAGGAAGGACAGGGCAGTCCCTAATAAATACCCAGATCTTGTCCCTGTAACCAGCACAGGATCAAACCAACTTTGAGCCTTTGGACCTGATTTCCCTCTGAGCTGATAGGCAGGTTCAGTGGAGTCCCTTAAGTTCTATTACAGAGTTACCAGGTATAAAGACTAATGGGAACCGTACATGGCCTGACCCTACCGTGCTGCCCCGCAGAGGCTCTGCCTGCCACCGAGCAGCGTGTGACTGCACAAGGGGCTGTCCCCTAAAAGGAGCACCCCTTGCAGGGGCAGTGAGCGGCCCGGGACTCCAGAGAGCAGGGAGCTGGTGGCAGCCAGGCGTGGCACCTGATACTTCTTCTGCAGGCGGAAACGGAAAGGCGGCCTGAGTCCACCACGGGGGTGGGGGCAGCGGAGGAAAAATGGGGGGTTTAAAAAAAACCGTCAATAGGATTTTTTTTTATTTTGTTATTTAACTAATAACCCGTTTTTCTTTGCCTCTTTAAAACAAAATCTAAATTCAACCCCAAATACGTTAAGGCCTAAGCTTAGTAGAATCTCTAACACATTTCAATAAAAATAAATAACCCTATCGAATCCCTGGGCCTCTATCAAAACTCGGCCCTAAAGGCTGTTTTTCTGTGAAAAGCAAGAACCAGCGGGAAAGCAGAGGCGCGACTCCATGGGTGCTGTGGGGCTGGAGAGATGGGGCAGGAAGATGCACCCTGCACTCAAGCTGGTAACCAGAGGGGGGCTTGGAAACTCACCAGCCAAGCCAGCCACATCAGTGCTAAAGTTTCCCCCTACTACTGCCAGGCTGCGGCATGTGAAAGTGTCTTTTCCCCTCTCCTTCCCGCCAACCCCACACCTGTTGGATGACACATTTCAGCCCTAACGGAACTGCTCCCACTGGCTCCAGAGATTTACACAAGAGCACGAGGAACCGAGCAGGGTTCCCTGGAAGAATATTAAAGGAACTGGCACATGACATTGCAAGACCCCCCAGCAAGGATTTCTACTGAATCTGTGAAGTCAGGGTCCATGCCCTGTGACGGGAGAACCGCTAATCTAGTTCCTGTTTTTAAGAAAGGGGAAGAAAGTGATTCAGGAAACTACAAGCCGATTAGTTTGACTTCAATTGTATACGAGGTCTTGGCACCGATTCAAAGAGAGACAGGAGTTAAGGACGCAGAGGCGAATGGCAATCGGAATAAAATACAAGGTGGCTTTACAAAAGGTCCCCCAACCCGGTCGCCTCTGAGAAGAGAGCTGAGGTTTTAGACAAAGGAAATGCAGTGGATCTGATCCACCTGGCGTTCAGAAAGGCATTTGCTATAATTCCACATGGGAAATGATTAAACCGGAGAAGGGGGGCAGCGAGGACACAACATCTGACTGGCTCCAACACCGAGAGTGATACATTTCCGGAGGGGATGGCATGGGACTTCCTGCAATGCCCTGGGGTCCCTAAGTGACTGCCAATCACAACAGTCCCCAACGATGGGACACTACATGGGGGGGGGGGGGGGCTTCTAAGAATTACAGAGAATTTTTTCCCTTTGGGGTTCTATGTACGGCCTTCACAAACCCCCTCTGCTCCCTTCCCCCGCGCCTCTCTCGCACCAGGGGCTCTGCACGTACTTGCTCCTCCCCTTCCCTCCCAGAACCTCCGGAGTGCTGTGAATCAGCTGATTCGCGCCCCATCCCCGCACCTCCCCCCTTCTCCCAAAGCTTGAACGCATCACCCGACTCTAGATGCTCTGGAAATGCCGGGGGGTTGGGGGGAGGGAGAATGAAAGAAGGGACGGTGCGCGCTCAGGGAGGAGGCAGGTATTTGAGGGCAGGGGTGGAGTAGGGGAGGGTCCAGCAACCCCTGGCAAAATGAGAAGTGACACCTTGAAAGCCAGGGCGCATGTGAGGTGCCTGCTGATGGCCCACAACAAGCTCCCTCTGCCTCTTTATGTTACTTTTCCCCGCAGTTTAATTTGCCCTAATAATGGGCCACTTAGTGTTGAACAGGCTGGATCGCGAAGGAGAGCCAAGTGCAATGTGTTTCATCTCATTCTTGCGGCACACGCCCGAGTTCAATCCTGCGGCCCACTGAGACGTCGGAGGCCACTCCTGCGGCCCGTTCACCAGCCTAGGCTGCCCATCACTGCTCTAAGCCAGGATGCGGATATCTCAGCCACAGACACAGGTCAGGGCTCTGTGTGAGGAGCGGGCGGAGGAGGTTCTGTGCCCTGCGACGTGCGGGAGGTCAGACGAGATGATCAGGGTGGTCCCTTCTGACCGTAAATTTAGTGTCAGAATTTACACCGACACACAGAATTTACACAGAAAGTCCGTGAGTCTAGCTCCAGCTTTGCCTGTGGAAAATTCGGCCAGCCTCTCCCTTCCTGCTTTGCAAAGCAGGGGAGAGACTGTTGCCACCCCTGCGGTAGGCAGGAGTTGCGAAGGTCACAGAAATAACGAGAAGAGCTGAGATTGGAGCTCCGAAACATTTAGCTGATTGCTCCGTGCACCTTCCCCCACACTCGCACAGCGGAGTTTGTTTCCTAGAGCCAGGTCAGGTGGAGCCCACATTGCGGCAGACCCATGAGAAAGGCAGATCTTAGGAGACTCCGCAAACTGGGCCATGATCTGAAAACAGCTCACTGCACTGCAGCCTCATCCACTCCAAGCCAAACACAAACCTGAATCTGCCCCTGCGCAGTCATCTAATCGTTCCCCAATCCAGAGCCAAACTCCTTTCCTTGGAAAATCTTCAACAGCAACAAATGGCCCTGCAGCATCTTGGAGACTAACAAAACATGTCGATGGTCTCATGAGCTTTAGTGGGCACAACCCACTTCCTCAGATGAATGGAGTTAAGGGTCCAGAGGACAAATAAATAGCCTAGAAAGCAAGGAAAAAAATGTGTCAATTGGAGTGTCCATGCTAAATGAGGCTAATAGAAAGGGCCGTAAATACTCAGTGCTTGGCTTTTGATGTCATTCGGCTGTGAAACGTAGCAGCCCGTCCAGATCAGATCTTGTTCAGACCTTGATTACAGGTGTCAAACGTGTCAATGAAGCCAAGTCTCCATTCATCTGAAGAAGTGGGCTGTGCCTACCAAAGCTCATGAGACCATCGACATGTGTTGTTAGTCTCTAAGGTGCTCGGAACCATTCGTTGTTTTTTAAGTTTTTTCAGTTACCGACTCACACGGCTGCCCCTCTGAGAGTCGTTTCCTTGGGCCTCCTCGGATTCAACGACTTATGAGTGCAAAAAGGTATTGGTCCCCTTGGGAGAAGAGGGCAATGTAAAGGTGGGTGAGGAGGAATACCAGGGCAGTGTTCATCGCAGGGAAAATGCCTGTTCCGGAGTGCTGGTCGCAGGGAATCGGGGCATGTTCCTGGCACTCATCAAAGTCTCTAAGAGTGGATCTATGAGGCAACTGGAGAGATCGGGGTGCAGTAAATCACCAGGTCTGGAGAGGATCCTCCCAGGACTCTGGAAGAAGGAAAGCATGCGCACCAGGAGATGGCACATCCAACTATCTGTCAGCTCCAGAACAGTGATCCTCATCTCAGCACCAGGCCAGCTGACGGGGAGGTCTGATTAAGGACAAAGCAGGAGAAATGGAACTTCACAGGCTCTGTCAAGGAAAACCGGGCCTGCCCTATGAGAACTGTCTGCAGACAGAATTCACTGGTCAGCTGCAATCTCAAAGGGAGGTTCATAAGATGCCTCTTCTGATATTGTTAACGTAATGCCTAACTAAGTGTGCTGCCCCGGGGCAGGAAGAAGGGGAAGAGACTAACAGCAGGAAGTCCCCAGGACTGGTATGTGATAATGAAAGGCACCGTGGAAACAGTCCCGCCTTTGCCCTTGAATCAGATGAAAAGGCAGGGCTGCTGCATGCCACTAAGTATGAGAGACCCGTGGCCTCAGGGGCTAATGGTGCACGAAGCGGGGTCTGAAAGAGCTGGGTTTGCCCTCAGAGAAGCTAAGGCGATGATGAGAAGAGTCCTGCTTTCGGCTGCAAGCCAATTCGCTGCACGTGCAGGAACAAAGGGGAGACGAGGAGACATTTCCACCGTCCTCTGAACCTCTGCGTCATCCATACCGGCCTGCGAGGGTGGCAGAAAACTAGACTCCCAGCACAACTGGTTCAGTCCAGCATGGAAGGGAGGTGAGAGACCAGACGAGGTGTGCCCAGGCGCCAATCAGATAGGAACGTGAGGCGGGCCGCTTGGCCGTACATCCCAGTGAAGTGACCGGATGAGCA